GGAGTTAAGTACATGACACAAGCTGCAATATTGCCCCTCACTACAGTTGTGGTCCAGTTTAAAGAGCACGTGTTCAAAGCATACCCTTGCCAGCAGCTGGGACACAGCTCAAGGACGCAAACAGGAACGGGGCCCAGAGGGGCCCCTATGGCTGCAAGGATGTGCCCATATAGAGCCAGGGCACGGGGTGGGGCGGGCAAGAGGGGGGACGGTGTCATTTCTCTGACACTTGTCTAGAGGATCTCCCATGCAGAGTTAGGATGCACATCTCCAAGGCAAAACAAGATGAAGCATAGATTCACAGCATTAATTTGTTCAGGTCTATAAGCATGCTTATCGCTGCAGGTCAACAAATTGCTACTAGAAAGATTTTCTGTTGGAGCAGTTTCCCAAGAGAAACTCCTGTGTCTGCAGATGAAAACTTCCAGAGAAAAAGATCAATTTTGCTAGTGCTTTTCAAATGAAAAATGTACCAAGCTATTTGATTTTAAGTCAATTTAGTCTGAATATGTTGGGTTTGAATCAAAAACTTCTAACAATGCAATAAAACACTGATCTGCAGTTTCTTAACAGTAGGATATTTCCGGAGCAGGGAAGGGTGTGAATACAGCCCTGGACCACATTCACATCTCTGGACTGGCTCCCGGTGAGGCTACTGATTACCACCACACAGTAAATGTTTTCTTCTGACAGGTTTTACACATGTCATCACAGAAGGTGTATGTGCCCTGCAGGCAATGGCGTGCGGGGAGGGGGGAAACTGGACCAAACTCCCACATTCCAAATTCTCTAGGGTGCAGAAACATGGGTCCACAGTGAATCAGCCCAAAGCTTTCGCAGGCAGGGTCTGTTCAACTGACTTTAAACTGTTCCATTTGGATTTAAAATACTGAAAAGAAACATATGCTAGACTAGGTTTGTATGCATTGGTAGTACTTTTTCACATAGCAGTTCGCAAATAGAAAAATTAGACAAGCTTCCAGGTACACACAGTATTCCTCAGATCAAAAGGTACCACCTTCACTTCCAAAATCCTGGCTTGCTTATGTGCTGGGACTATCTCAGCTATCCCATGATCACCACGAGGAACAAAAACACCAAGAATGGACAGCTCCGTGGAGAACCTTCCTCTATTTCTGCATTCTTTCCAACACCAACCTATATTTAGCCCTTCCCTTCCAGGAGGCCACATGCCCCACCAGGATGGGGGCCACCTGCACTCAGGACCTCCAAGCACTGCAATTCATACGCTGAAGAGCCTGTAAAATAAACACCTTTTCTGCTGTAATCTACACCAGCCTATAAAGATTACCATTTGCTATCTGACTGTAAATAGCCAGAATGCACAGGACTTAAACTCTGTGGAGTGATTTATTTATACATGGTTAGACAGGATAACTAGCAGTAGCTTTTTGATGACACTCCAGTTTCCCTGAAGGTTGGAATTTTCTTTCTTGTTTAAAATAAATTAAGCAACTCACAGACATTGAAACATACTTTTATTTTGGATCACACAGACCCGAATGCAAAAATGTGACCTTATGGGTCAGAACATAACTCACAAACCTTCCAGATGAGAAGGAGCAGGAGACGGCAGCTCGAGGCCTCGGCAAAGAGCTATTCCCGTGGCAAATGCAAAGTCAGCCCAGCCCTGTGGGCTCCTTTTCAACCCAGCAGCACTAAATACATTACTGCTCATTGCAGATGATTTGCGGGTAAGAAACAGCAATATGAGAGGAGCTTCCACCAACCTCCCAGGCCCCATCATGGCAGCGCAATGGATGTATCTGCCCAGATCACGGTGACAGAAGAGGTCTGATAATGATGACCACCAAATCCCCCAGACCCATCACCTCCACCCTGGAGAGGACCAGCCATCAGAGCTGAGCCAGCAAAAGGCTCCCAGCAGGGCAAAGCGCTGCTGGCAAGCTCAGGGATGGAGCACTTGCTGCAAAGAGCAGGACAGGAGCAGATCAAGAAGGGGAGAGACCCCTCAGGGTAACATGGGACAAAAAAGCCATGTCCACACAAGCACCCTTCCCTTATGCATCCTTACACAAAGCTTTCTCGCTGCCACAAGCAGCAGGGGTGGGTAGCAGGACAGCTGCCCATCAGACAGTGCGTCTGCCAGCAGGACCCAGCCACAGGGCACTGCTGCACCACATTGATGGGACCTCAAGGGCGCCAGGAGTGTGCCAGCACTAGCCCCCTGCCAGGGATGCCCTCCCGAGCTTCCTTCCACCCTAACTCCTGGCAGCCTGAGTGCAGCCTCAAAGCAGAGCCAGGCTCTCTCCATGAGAAGCCATGCTTGCAGAGGGAAACTGTCTTGTTCCCACAGTCAGGAGGGAGGCCGTGCATCGCACCAGACCACAAGGAGGTCACACAGCCGGCAGCGTGGCACCCAGTGGACACCACATCCATCAGGCAATGGGGAGAGCCATGCTGGGCTGGCTCAGAGACCCTCCCCACAGCCCCACGTCCTGCTGCAACACGAGAGTGCCACTTCACTGGGCCCAAATCCCAGCTTTCATTTGACTGCAAGCCATGCCTTGAATCCACCCCAATGCACAAATAACCTTAACACCACAAACTGATGCTCCCACCAGCCCACTGAGGCATCCAAGCCCCCAACAATGCTTCTGTGTGCAGCCAGCCTGCAGGAATGCCTTTGAGGAGGACCGTCCCCTCCCTCCCATGGGCTGCCAAGACTTAAAACCTCCCAGTGACACCCCCACAACCCTGTAACTAAAGCTTTGTACCTGAAAAGTGAATGCAAAGAAGAAAAGACACATGACCTGAAAGTGACTCTCTTCTTAGCTTCCCTGCAGGAAGAAGATGTTTAAGTATTCCCAGGCTGGCTCCCACAACAGCATCCCATCATTTAAGAAGAGCTTGTCTCTGTTCGCCTGAGGTTTACGTCCACTGAGGACAGTTCACTGAGCCACACAACTCCCGCACTGCAAAAGTGAGAGGTTTCTCCTCTCATGCTTTAACCACCAGCCCGTGTCCTTGCAGTCTGGTCACCCATTCCATGTGGCTCTTGGGGTTGTGACTTGCAGGTCACCGTTTCCCAGAAGAGCAGCCATGGGGAAGTCGGGAGGGCACCATCCTGCCCTGGCTCGCTGCTGACTCACAGGCATGTCCTCCTCTCTGTGCCCCAGCTTCCCCTTTTGAACCAAAATTGCCCATTGTTGGAGAGCCAGAGTCTGATGAGACAGTTGGAAGTGCACTGTCCCCCTAACCTTGAAGCCAGCTGTTTCCGTCTGTGCTATGTACTCACGGTGCACACAAAAAAGCCGCCTTCTCCCTTCCTTGCAGCAAAGACCCAGCCAAACCACGCATCTGGAGAATCACCTCCCCACCTACCTGCAGGCAGGATCTCACATCAGCCTGATCTCCCTTAGTGCACACCACCAGCCTCAAAGCAACCCTGTGGGGCCTGGGAGGGAAGGGGTGGCACGGGGGATGTCCTGCTCAGCAGGGTGCTGTCTTTGAGCCAGGGGCTGAAAGCTGTGGGCTTGGGTTGGGAAGCTCCCACTCCACTTACAACCTGCTCCAAAATACCCTAGGCAGACAGGAGGAACAAGAAGGGGTTTTCAGAATCCCGTAATAGTGGCAGGTCCAGACCTACTATCCTCTGTGGGGGAGCATGCATGTAGGAAAGCAAATATTTCACATTTTCTATCAAACTACTGTACTCCAACTGCAATGGATGTCACAGATCTTAATCAACAGAGCTGTTAGAGCCATTTAAGCCCCTCAGAAGAAAGCTAAGCACTTCATTACATCTTGACAAAGACGAGTCTTCACTTCTCAAGACCTCATGAAATGCAGCCAGCTCTCTTTCAGTCACTTCTACTTAGGGGCCCAAAGCTTCTAAATTAAATGCCAGGCTCTGAATGCATTCTTCCAAATGCATGAGAAAACGCAGGAGTGCCTCATCCCACTGTCAGGATGTCACTGACGAACACCCATCGCAGCCTTTCTGAGTCACGGCATAGGATTAACTGGGTAGGGAGACATCACGCAAGTCTGACATTACACTGGGACACGTACTGAGCAAACTCCTGAGGAGGCACCTCCTGCCCAACCGCCCCAGGGAGAAATAGAGGAGACAAGGAAGGAACAAGAGGGAAATGTGCGAGAGAACTTGTCAGCCAATGGTTATGCAGCAAGTCGTGCTTTGGCCCAAATCCCAGCCACTCAAGGTGAACAACTTTCATTCTGAACATTTTCATCCAACTTTCACAATAGCTTATTATTCCGCGGTGCTGCTGAGCAATGTTTGCCTTTCTCCTCTGTGCCCTGGGGATGTTTCCCAGATCCAGATTTCCACCTCTGAAAATACAAGGCCTTGAAACCGGGAACACAGTAAATTCACTTGAAAAGGAAAAAAGCCACAGCCTTCAATGATTAGGTAGGTCCAGTCACTGTGAACCAATTTTGCAGTCTCCTTGGCTGCTTCATGACACAAACGTAACTGTGCCAATGTCTGAGTGATTCCAAATCTGTTTAGAGCATTTAGCCATGTACCAGCCACACATGTTTTTAGAGCTATGATTATATGTCTTTTAGATTGAGCTTCCTTATTTTATTTGAGGGCTTCAAAGCTCGGTGCTTGCAGACAAGAAAAGCAAGATGCCTAAAAATTAAAGACAAAACAGTTGGCAAGGAAATCGGCCTACAAGCAAAAGAATCCCAGGATAAAATGAAAGTGAGATGCTGCGAGGAAGATCCACCTGCTGTGCACAGGGGGAAGGGGAAAAGCAAACCTGTCTCAGTGCTGCCCAGCCTCCCCATTCACAGGTTCCTTTTAGCAGCCTCTTACTAATATATTCTGGCTACAGCCATTACATTTCCTTTCCAGACCTCTGACAAATTAATTAAAAAGGAAGTTAAAATCAGCCCATTCAGTGCTCCTTGCCCCAGCAGAAAGTATCAGTTGTTAGCATGTGTTCAGCTCCCACTAGAAAGTTAATTTGGAAAACAGCAACACTCACCTCTGCAAGATAAAGGATGCAGAATTTCCGATCTTCTGAACCTATCAAGAAGAAAAAACAGGATCAAAATTAAGCTACAACTGCATTTCTGCAAGCAGAGCCACTGGCAGAGGAATTGGCTAAGAGACAGCATTTAATGAATATTTATTGTTGTCATCCTACAGTACCAGGCTGTGATCTGGGAGTGATGTATGCTGCATCTGCAGGGGCCATGTGCTGGGCAGGCTGCATTGCATGATATCTTGCATGGACTCACTGCGCTGTCATGGATTCCCCTTTGGGTTTGTCCCTTTGGAAAAAGGTTTGTTTCATTCAGAGGCCACTTGCAGGATCTTCTGCCCAACCTGCCATCACATGTGCAGCCCAATTCCTTCCCGGGGTCTGTGGAGGCCCTGCAGTGCCCACGCAGCCATCCTGGGCACCGGGGTCAGGTGTCTTCCATCTTACCTCTCTGGATGCTCTGCTCCCAGGAGGACTAACCAGAGCAGCTCCTGTTCCTATGTCCTTGCTCATTCCTACCTTCTTGCCCGAAGCCCTTGGTAAGGCTGGTGGCAGCTCTATCTAGTGCTGTCTGTCCCAGCCTCCATCAATGCCAGTGGTTGGGGTCGGTGGCTCTCCAAGAAGATGGAGCTGAATCCCAGGGCAATGGGAAGCAGCTGACATGGGGCAGGGAGGAGAGCTCATCCTGCTCCATCGGCCTGAGGGCAAACTCCCCAAGCTGCTGCCAGCATGGCACCACTCAGGAGACCTGGCCAAGGGACTTGCACTTCCACAGCTTCAGGAAAGGAGATGGTGCTAGAGGCAATGCAATGACCAATGTTGCGATCCACATCCTGCTAAATCATGGAGCAGTCCAGTACAGCTCCTCATCTTGCTGCCAGCTATCCCAGTGGATGTGTTACGCTCCAGCTGCTCCACCAGGCTGGTTCCTGCAGGCTTAGCCTTCCATGTACCCAACAAAAAGGCATTCCTGAAGATTTGCCCTGTCTTTGATCCCTGCTGGTGAGACACAAGTGTCCCCAGCCCCAAGGGAAGCCAGCTCCTGGCACACATCAGCCTCACAAGGACATGAAGCTGCCACAGGACAGGGTCACCTCAACTCTGAAGCAGGACATCCCATCTCCTGCAGCCGGCTCGTTCCATCACACCAGTGTGCCCTGCACCAGCTTTGCCCTTGGTAGCACGCAGCACTGCTGGGCTGCAGCTTTTGTAACCTTTTTAATAACATTATCTCTGTCATGAGATCAGATCTGCAGTCTGGGCATGGCTGTGGATCCTATTCAAAGCAGTGTCAGCACAAGCTCTGCTTCATTTCAACAGCCTGAGCTGCGCTAACAATGGGAACAGGCTCTGTACAGTGGTGGAGACACCCTGTTCCCCAGAGAAAAGCAATTCTTCTGCCACAGGCAGCAGCCCAAATGTCACGATAAGAGCTGTGACCTACTGAGGGACTTGGATGCCTCTTGAGTCACTCCATGGGCAATGCGAAACCCAAGAAGTGCAATGGCCTGGAGCCATTTGCTGGATGTCTCTTCCAGCTGCCCTTTGGGGGATCGCAGGTCTGCCTCCGCTGCCAGCTTCACTTTTAATGCACATTGCAAGATATGGGCTGGAACATCACTATGGGGACACCAGGGTGCTGTGCCACACCAGGGTGCTGGAGCCCAGCACCACCACTGTGGACCTCTCAGATGAGGAGCCCTTGTTTGTTTTCATAAGCTTCACTCTGCTCCACCCTGGGCAATGCGAGGGTCAGGGAAGCAGCCTGGCCCCAGGGCTGCCAGACAAAGAGCTCCAGCACTGCCCCTCCAAATCTTCACTTCCAGAAGGGGAGCAATGCTGGACCCTGAACACACATGCTGAACAGGCCTGGCTGGGAATCAACGTCTCACCTCTGCACCACAGAAAAACCATTCACCACTCTCCATGGCAATGCCTGAGCTATCCTGGCACCCTCTTCCATAAAGCTCAGCAGGACCATAGGGGAGCATTTTCCTCAGAAAGCCAAAGCCTCTGATGGGAGCCCCTCAGCCAGTGCTTTTTCCCTCAAGGGAGGGCTTGGAGGCAGGATCCGAGCCTGCTGCTGGCACACCATGCCCTTCTCCTGCTTCTGTATCCCAAGTGGTCAACAGTACAAAAATCACCCCATCTTCTCAACCAGGCTCTTGGCTCCTCCTTGTACCATGACCAAAGCTCTCCAGGCTGCCTTGCAAAGCAGATTGCAGAAGACCAACACATCACAGCTACTTTCCCTCAGGAGCTTTAACCAGGCTTTCCTGGCTGATGTGAGATACAAGTCACCCTCTAGAGACATGCACCCTCAGCAAAGAAAGGTGATGTTGGAGTGTAGCGGCCCTGGGAATGACCCCACCTCTCTTGGGCCTCTGTTTATTCCTTCTGCAATACCAAGTGATCCCGACAAATCCCAAAACCATCAAAATTAAGTTCCCTTCCAAGTTCCTCTTCATTGAGCTATGAATTTCGGCATTAGCAATGTCCACCACCAGCAGCTCCTGTCCCCTGTCCCTCTGAGGCTCACAGCTACACATGGCCAAGCAGCCCAATGCCTATGGGACACAGAAAACAGGGAGCCAGCCTAGGCTAAGGAACTGCTTAAATCCCATTTTCTACCAGTAATTGCCTTTAGGGAGAAAACAAATGGGAGGTAAGAGATTGGCTGCCCAGTCCAGCAGCTGGGCTGGAGCCAGTGCCAACCCCCAGCAAGGCGCAAGGGGAGGCAGGAGAGCAATGGCAGAGCCCGGAAGGGCAGACCTGAGCGCAGATTTCAGCACAAACCGAGTGTGCCAGGATTTCTTACACTGGAGCTTTTTCCAGTCTCTGGAGGGTCAGGCTGGAGTACTGGAACCTGCTGTGCCCCAGAGCCGTGCAACATGCTCTGCTCATCTCCTGCACCGCAGATCACAGAGGCCATGAAAGACAAGGGGAGAGGCACAACCTCATGCCAGAGAAGCGGCATCCAGCTGCCTAGACTAATGTGGGGCTCCGTTCCCCACATGGCCCTATATTCACACCTTTTTTGACAGCTGAAAAGTGCATACTCTCAGCCAAATTCAGTGAAATGCTAAAAGGAAATAAGCAGGAGAAAAAAAAACCTCACTTGAAGATATTTCAGTTTCTTCCTGATGTGTTGTGACAGGGACTGGCTTGTCTTTCAGAGTAAATTGAACCATCCCTCCCCCAGGGCTGGGCTGCTGTGTGCACTCAGCACAGACAAGAGGAGAGTGCAAGTTTTGTGGGGACACATCCCCCTCTCTGGCTAACTGAGGTGCGGGGCAGGCTTCCAGCACCACCCAGGCTCTGCCCACCTCCCTGTGCAACCCAAAGAAAACACCCGCTGCTTGCAGGATTTGGGTGGTGCATGCCAGGCATTGGGTAAAAAAGATGGGGAAAGAGGGAAGATGGTTCTGCTCCTTTCCACAGCCTCCTTGCATGGCCCAGGGGACTAGTAATGCCCACGGCGAGGGCAGGTACTGTGCTCCCCAGCCTCTCACATCTGCTCAGCGAGGACGGGACTGCATCCAGCACCCAAAGAGGAGCTCACAGGGAAGGAGCTCACAGGGCAGGGTGCTGTGGGGCCCTGGGTGTGTGGGGAGAGAAGAAGGCTGTTGTGCGCATCCAAACCTGGCTGCCAAGAGGCAACAAGTTTGTCACCCTCTGTGGCACATATCCATGGGGAGATGTAGCAGGGTCCAAGCCCTGGGTGCTTCCCAGCATCCCTGGGGCAGCAGGGAGAAGCCACGGCTGGGCAGAAGACCCATAAATCACATTCTTGGCCTTTGACTGTCTTGGAGCTGTTTGCTGTAAGACACGGCGGGTTGGGATGTCGGGGACAGCAAAGCAGCACATGAGAAGTCCTTGTTAGCAGGATCCTAGCTGGGGCTGGGGCTCACAGCCTGGGGGTCCTCATTCCGGCTGCAAAACAGGAGCACTCTTCTCTGTCCCAAAGCCAAGCACACCCACCCAGGGGGCCAGGATCCCAGCGAGGCGGTGACCTTCGTGTGGAAATTCCCACAGTATCTAGTGAGGAAGCCAGCCCTGTCACACTGGAAACATTGGCTGGTGTGGTGCTCATCAGCCATGCTCAGCTTCTAAAGCAGGAAGACAGAGCATTGTAAAGCAGATTATACTGATTTGCTTTCGCACAGTGCAGCAAGCAGCAGAAACAGGAAACATCACAATGGTCTTCAGTGTACCGGAGATGTCTCAATTGTTATACTCAGCAATACGCCTGTTCCTATTAATGTGCCATTCAGTTATTTAGGAGACCAACAGAAAATCCCTGCCAAAAGGGACGGACATCTTTTTGTTCATTCCACCTGCCTTTGAAGCAGCTCTGCCGAAACCAGGAGGGTGAACTGCCTGAAAACCAACTGTGCTGGATTCCTGGTGTATGGGGGTGGTTCAGTGCTGCAGAGACAAACATCCCCTTCAGAAAGGATTGTCAAGCTATTCCCGATGTGACCCAGCCAAGTTATTATGGCAACAAGGAAATAAGTGGCAGAAAAACCACTCACGAAATTCAACCACTCTGCCTTGAGGTTAGGAGGCATGTTCCTATGCCGAGCTGCAAACAGACCTTCATGCACGGAGCCGGGACCAGCACTAGGGAAGCTGATTTCTTCAAGGAGGCGAACAAGAGCAGGGTTATTCAACAGCCTTTGAAAGCAGCCAGAGGCAGCACACGCACGCGCTCCAGAAGCAGACGCTGACCAACAAGCACTTCAACGAGGAACAATTTCTTTTGTCTGTTTCTTAGAAATAAGCAGCGCTAAGAACAAACTCAAACAAACCCCAGGGAAGCTTCAATGGCTTTTCTAAATGGCTTGTGCCGCGGTGCCCCATCTCCCTCACTGTGGTTCTGCCCCCACCAAACAGGTCAGTGAATTAATCTGGGAGCAGAAACATTGGAAATGGGAAATAACCACTGGCAGGCAGCCTGTGGTGTCCAGCACAGCATTGCAGATCCCCAGCACTGAGGCTCACAACAATGTGGAGCACATGGAAAGATGCAGCTCATCCACAGAGCTGACAGCTCAGCTGGGGAAAGTCATGGGAAGTGGCAAAATTCATCCAGAAAATGATCCCTTTGGGAAGTAGCCTGGATCTGGATTAATCCCTTTTGGTCAGGGCCATGGGACTGCATAAAGATATCAGCTCATACAGTTACAGCGTAATCTGGGTTGGAAGGGGCCCCTCTGGTGGTCTCTAGCCCAAGCCCCTGCCCAAAGCACCCAGATCAGGGCACTCAGGGCCGTGCCCAGTTGAGTCCTGAACACCTCCAGGTATGGAGATCCCACACCTCTGCAGGCAACTTAATATTTGACCAACCTCACCATAGAAAAGTTTTTCTTTATATCCAATCACAATTTCTCACGTGGGATCCCAGTCAAGTGACACCCACTGCCTGGGCTTCAGGAGGAGTCAGGGCACCAGCCCCACGCTGATGCAGTCAGGCGACTGTTCACAAAACAAGCCCATAACCAAAAGGCGACTGCACCAAAGAAGGAACAAGGTGATACTGGGCCCGGGGCCAAGAAGTGGCTCCACCATAGCAAATAGGATGTGGTAGAGCAATTTGTTCGTTCCTCTTTTGACCCTGAGTAGCTAAAGGTCATCTTTCAAACAGCCTCAGCATTTCAACTTGAAATATCTAATTTCAAGTCATCCTCCTGCCCTAGAAGCCCTCCCTGAGCCCTCAGCTGGATGTGAAAGCCCAGTCAAGGTGAAGAGAGTAAGGGCATGGCCCAAGGCCTTCCACCAAGTCCAGGGTTTGCTCTTTCCTCACCAATGGGGTGTGCATGGGGGAGGGATGCTAGCATGGGAGGAAAACCGTGGTGGCTGAAGGGAGAAGTAGCAAAGTAAAGGTTAGTAGGGCTTAGCCAGACTCCCTTGGAGACAACCTCTGAACTCTCTCAAGGCACCATGGGGGAAACCTCAAGACTTCACTTCCCTTTCTCAGCCTCGGCAAGCCCCCACTGTCAACAGTGTAACACCAGCAAGGGGAACAGCACAGCCCAGCAAGATCCTGGGGAATGCCAGCCCAAAATCCCTGAGAGATGCATCCAAAAAGCCCTGGAAAGCAGTGCTACCTGAGTGCCCCTGAGGTGTCCCAGGAGATGGAGCTCCCAGGGACTGGGTTAATGCAGGGATGGGAAAGGGGGATGCTGCCCCTGCACCCCAAGGAAAGATGATCCGGCAGCACCAGTCAGATGGTACTGTTAAATACTGGAAGCAATGGGATAGTGGGGTGCTATCCTGCTGCTGGCCAGAAACTTTATAGCTAGCAGCCCTGAAAATGCCCCAAATGTCTCCAACTGCTGCTGCAGACACTCACCCTCCTGGAGCTTGACACTCTGCAGGTAGAGAGGGTTCCTCAGCACATTGCAGCGCCCAGGCTCGTCCTCCTTGGTGAAGAGCAGCAGGTCAGAGTAAACAAAGAGGGTGACCTGGAAGCACAAGAGCAGCAAAGAAGAAGCTATAAGGAATTAATCTCTTGGCACTGAGACAGTGTCCTGGAAAGGTCCTCTACCGTGGGGAGACGCACCAGCCATGACAGGCAGCCCAGGCACTCTTTCCCTAAGGGGCTGATTGCTGCTACACCCCTCAGGGTGCTCCCAGCAAGCTTCAGACAAGGCTCCCCCTGCTTTGGCAGTCACCTACCGAGGGTTGTGGAGTCCCGTGAGAAGAGGGATAAACTTGCCCGACAGTTTAACGCCACGCAAACACACCCTCTCTGCTCTCTCATGTCACTTCCCATTTACATAAGTTATAAATCAGAGGAGCAGGAGGAGGGAATAACTTGCCGACTAATCCCAGCACACTGTAGCAGTTGCAACCTAAAAGCAAACATGATCTCCCTGAACACACTCACGAAGGAGCTTTGCACTGTTCTCTGTCTTCACATGGCTCATTTCACCCCCTTTGAGAAAATAATAGTTTGGCTTTTACAACAGCAGAACCTACGAGAGCAGTTGCAGGGAACAAACTTGACACCTTTAAACCACACTAATGGGTGGAAAGCAAACACTGAACCAAGTGTCTGCCCAGGTCTGTGCTTGAGCAGTGACTCAAGTGTCCTAGAAGCTGTGAGCTACTCCAGAGCAGTGGGTGCTCACAACCCAGAAGGTAGATTTTGTTCTGCTTCTGGCTCTTGCCTGAGGTCCCTAGTTCAATCAGTACAGATTAGTGTGATCTTTAAAATAAGAAGAATGAGCTTCTCCACTTTACTGGAGATCCTTGACCCAGAAGTCTACTGGGAGTGAGTAGCTTGGTGCAATCACTATGCCAGTAGACGAGGTTTGAGCCTGTCCTGCTCTCCAGCAGAAGTTGGGGGCATGCAGCAAAACTTAGAAGGTGCCAGGAAGTGGCTGCAATATGCCAGTGGGCATACTGGATGCTGGACCTTCTGCATACTGCCAAACCACACACTGCTCTCAGCGCAGGATGCAGCATGTGAGCACATGGCTGCTTTTAACCGCTCCTTGGGATGTTCCCAAAAACCTCCCACAGCAAAGGGAAAGCTGCTTTGCAACACTGAGCAACAGCAACGAAGGTTTTGTGGCCTTTTAGCAACCCTTTCACAAGAGCAGCAAACAACCCAGCATCCCAGGGGCTTACTGGGAGCTGGCATCACTGCCACCACCAAGTCACCCTTGGAAAGGTGACTTTGCTCTGGGCAGGGACTGAGTCACTGTTTACAGGGGGACACACTGACAGTACAGTTTGTCTCCATGCCCAGTGGCTGACGGACACACATCAGGAGGAGGACAAGCTGGGTGACAGTTTATCACATGGTGGTGAGTCTCACATCAGGGCAGCAGCATCTGGCTTTGAAACCAAAATCAAGCCCTTGCCACAAGATTTCTCCTTGCTGTGAAAATTTATTTTTGTGGGATTCTTAATAAGCACAAACCTACTGATGTAGCTTTAATTGACAATGAAACCAGGGAGTGTCTGTTTTTCTCTGTATCATTTGGAAAATCCCTTCCTCTCAACACACTGTTCGCCTAGTGCCCATGTTCACTGTCTTCATTACTTCTGACCTCATTATTAATACAAGGAATAACATAGTACAAACTGCACTATAAACTTTCTCCCATGCCCATCTTGTTCTAAAAGATTACTTTTCCAGGACATGTCTGGTGCCATCCCAGGTCCCTCAGCCTCAAAGAAGAGATGTTCAGGGATTTTGAGAACAGCAACTCAGCAAAGTGAAGGAGATAAAAGCATAATCCACAAGTGGTCATGCTGGAAATGGAGGAAAGAAACTGAAGACCTAATACATACAGAAGTTTAAAAGGTAGAAAAATGATTAGAAGGATCAGCAGGAAAAAAAATATCACTTCAAAACTAAGCAGATTTAAATAGAGAATCATGAAAACAGAAATACACAAAAAGCATTTACAGGTAACATTATGCTTTTATGGGAAGATGGGACTGACTGAATTCAGGATGTAGAGAAGACAAAAGCGCGGCCAGCATGGGTTACGCAAGAGCATCTCTATTAGATGCTGCTTCTAGGAAGACACTTGATTTTAGAGCAGCTCTGCACAAAACGGTTTACAGATGTCCCTCTGCTCCTTCAAGTTGCTCAGGGAAGAGCATGAGGGTGTCCCTTCCACCCACACAGCCAGAGCCTGCCAAGAGTGCCCCAGTGCTGCAAGGTCCAGCGAACCCTGCTCACACAGGTGGGAGCAGGACCAGCCCTGTGGGGCAGAGCACTTACCCAACCTGCAGAGCTGAGCACGGGAAACTCAAATCATGTTCAGAGAAAGGCAACCAAGTTGGTGAGGGGCCTGGAGCACAAGTCTTATGAGGAGCGGCTGAGGGAGCTGGGGCTGTTTAGTCTGGAGAAGAGGAGGCTGAGGGGAGACCTTATCGCTCTCTACAACTACCTGAAGGGGGTTGTAGTGAGGTGGGTGCTGGTCTCTTCTGCCAGGTGGCTGGAGATAGGACGAGAGGAAATGGCCTCAAGTTGCAGCAAGGGAGATTTAGGTTAGATATTAGGAACATTTTTTTTACTGAGAGGGTTGTCAGACATTGGAATAGGCTGCCCAGGGAAGTGGTTGAGTCACCATCCCTGGAGGTATTCAAAAAGCGCGTAGACAAGGTACTCCAGAACATGGTTTAGTGGGCATGGATGATGGTTGGACTTGATGATCTTGAAGGTCTTTTCCAACCTAAATGATTCTATGACTCTATGATTCTATGGATGACCCTAAGGCAGCAGCCAGCAGATATAAGAGGGGAGGGCTGGAGTGAGTAATCTGGAGCTCTGCCTAGGATTGCCATCACACCGCTGATGAGCTCTAACATGTCTGTAACAGCCCTTTGCAAACAGATCTGGTAGCTACCATGAAAAATCACAGGGCTCATAAAAGCAAAAGACCAAACAAAAAAGAAACACAGTGCCTGAATTCATCCAGGCAAGACACAGAATCCAGAGTTGCCCTGTGGAGAGTCAGAGTATCTTTGTGTATGTCCCAGAACTAATTTTCTACGCCAAAATCAGAAATAAAACAACTGACATGATGAAAGGACTCCTCTGAAGACAGAGATAGGTACACCTGTGTTATTACTAGCATGATCAAGGCCACATGGCAGTTGTCACACAGATCTTTTGGGGGATGTGAATAGATTTTACGGGGTGGGGGGAAAGTGTTCGTAGAGGTTGACACTGATGTGTCGGACACTGTTCATCTGGGTGTGCTCTGCACCACAGCAAACAGCAAAGCCTCTTCTGCTGATAGATCTGACTAACTACAGAATATAACTGTCAAAGCGTTTTTACAGAAGGAAGGGTCATGTTTAAAATGTTTCCTAGAAGAAAACAGGAGAAAATGAAAGCCAGGAGGGAAAGTGGAAACTAGTGGGCTAGTGTGCTTCCCCAAGATGAGAACAGGAGATCAATGCTGGAACTGCTACAGAGCCCCACTGCAGGAAGGGGGAAGCAATAACCACGCCTTGTAAAGCAAAATATGGTAACAAAAACAATATGAAAAGGTGCCCAGAAATTAAGCCTTGCAGATGACATACCTTCACATTCCAGCTTAAGAATACTTAACTATCTTCCTAACCCCTTCCTCTTCCGCTCATCTATGCACAGAGAGCCACAACCACTTGGGTTACAGCAGGGAGGAGTTTGCACGCTGCAACTGCAGCAGTACATCAGCAGAGACACTGGCAAAATGGATCAGTGCAAACCCTGCCTGCTTGTCCCAGTGCTCGGCAGGAAAAGCCTGAGCCAGTTGATGCTTCCTGAGACATCGTCCTCTCTCTCTCTGTAGCAATAGTCTCGTAGCTGTGCCCAGCAAAACAGAGGGAGCTGAGGAAGCAGAGGCAGGTCTTTTATGATAAAGCTTTCAGATGCCAAAGGAGAACATGGTGACAATCACCTGCATTGCTGGCCAGAGAATGCTGCCTGCAGCTGGCTAGAGAAATCCTATAATTCGTGGTGGGGAGCTCTTAAGACAGGTATCCACCCCTAGGACTGAGCCACACACGTTTTCTGTTTACCAGTACTGGATTCTTCTCCAGAAGAATTGGTTGCAACCCCAAAGAGAAACTCCAGTGATACCAGTATGCGGGTTGTATCTGCAGAGTTCATGTGCCCTCATTCATTCAGTTGAGCTAAATGGATGAAGCTTTCTTAATCTTCCTCAATTTTTTCAGATCTTGATTTATCCTTGTAGCCCTCTTGTGAGACCATCCAAATTCTGAGCATCCTCTATGAAGCAGACATCACTGTTGGACTCATCAGACCAAGAATAACACAGCTCCCCACATACAGGGTGATATCACGGAGTCACTTCTGTTCAGTGCTCCCCTGATCATATGCTTCAAAGTCATAGCTTTCTTGGCTACAGCTTTGCCCTGGCAGTTACTCACTTACTTAGTTTTCACAGAGACCACAGCAATAGGAGAACATGATTAAAAGTAATCCAGTTATGACAGCTTTGTACATTCGCACCTCAGTCAGCTGAGTGCCAGTCTAAAAAGAGAAGCAGTCTAGGCTTGTCAGGTGGGGTAGGTGCGCATACATGGTCACGGCACTTCGGAGATGAGCATGAACTTCCCAGGTGAGGGGAAACTTTACCATCCTTCAGCAATACACTAAAGCCTTTGAGACATTGCTTTCCATGCTACAGCCCTAGCTCTAGCTCTCTAAGCATGACCTGCTCCTTTGCTCCTGGATTTTTACTTCTGCATGTATCCATATTAAATGCATGTTCTCCGAGATGTCTCGGCAGTCTTTTAGCCCACAGTGCATTTACCCTCTTTTACCACCTCGCACATTTTTTTCTGCCAAGATTATTGGCAAGGAATTTATACACTCAGGAAGGAGTTTATATGCTCAGCTAGACTTTGATGAAGATACACCACCACACTTGCCAAAAGGAGATCCATGGTGAAGGTTTTAGCTGTCAAATCGTGAACCTCACCTTGGCTTATCTGAATCAAATATTATTCTACCTTGAACATCAGGGGAGAGCAGGCACTGAAGACCTCAAGGGGTCATGCACCCACTCTCAAACACTAGCATAAGCAGTGGCTGTGCAGATGGGGAAATAGTGTAAAAAATGAGGAAGAGAAGGATATTAAAAGGCAGTGAAGAAGAAGGGACAGAGTAAGTGGGACTAGTGTGGTGGAGGGAAGAGGTAAGTGCAGGTTTCTGGTATTCTCACCCAAATGAAAATGTCTAAAAAAGGCTGAAAACAAGATCTTGAAACATCTGTGCCAGGGAGTAGTGTTTTGGTCTACCCACTGTGCTGGCCAGACTCAGCCACCCGCTGAGACAGGGAGCTGGCAACCCCATCCCAGGCCAGGAGTGCCGGTAACTTGCAGTGCAACACTGGGATGACAGAGAAAAGCCTCTTGCTCTGCAGAGAAGAGCACAAAACCTGGGCATGCTGGTCCATGTCCTCCAGACTCCTGGCAGAGCTGGGGGCTTTCAGAGTTCTGGGGAGGACCATCCTGATCTGCAGACCCTGCCAGGATGGCAGAAAAGAGAGCTGAGAAGGGGGTGAGCATGGCCTATGCTGTGAAGCTACCTCAGGACTTTGGAAAGTTGCCTCCAGGTACATTAGAGACAGACCAACAAGGGCAAAGCCCATGTTTGACACCTTGTGCACAATCACCTGCATCATGGTGGTTCCTCTGGCACTCCTCAGGCTGGAGGGATTTCAGAAGACCATAAAAGCAGGAATTGCAACAAAGTCTAGACAGGATGTGATTAAGGCCTGAATAAGGATTGCCCCAGAGGTAAGGTCAGGGAAAGGACAGATCCTGGCAAGCCTCCAGGGAGATAGGTTGACTCCTTCAGGAGATGGGAGAGAGTTTGCTCAGTGACGAGGATGCAGTGCCTGACATGGAAACTGCCAAGAGAAAAAGATTCTGGGGGCGGGGGAAGAGAGAAACAGGACCTCCATCTCCAGCCCCTGCACCTGGGCCCTCCTCTCTCGAGCCACTTAGCCAAAGCAGAATAACATACAGAAAATAGTCCTGCAAACCACAGGAGCAGTGGTCCAGTTTGAGAGAGGCTAGGTGGGAAGAGCAGTGGAAAAATAGAAAACCACATGCAACAAGGAAGAAAGAACCAATCGGAAACCAGGCAGCCTCTGTTTGGACAGCAGAGAAGGCTGGAGAGGGAGTGAGTTCAAGTCCAGCAAAAAGAGAAGTCAGAGCCCTTCTGTACCAGGGGAAGCTCCATTGTGTCCATGCCATTTTAGGTCTTGCTGGCTTCAGAAGTTTAGGTTCTTTTATCTCACAGCCCACCAGAACCAAAGCAGACACCCTTGCTCTGCTGGAGAAGGGGAGTCTCTGGCTTTCCAGAGACCTGCACTGATTCCTTGAAGCTCTGCAAAGCCTGCCATAACCCTGTGACACACTGCAGACGTGAGAAAGCCCTTCTCCAGGGACATGCCTAATGTCCCAGTGTTGCTACCTACAACTGTCAGCTCCCAGCAATACAGGGCTGAGCACCACACCTGAGTTCACACCAAAGGAAAGACTCTTGCCTTCCAAAGCAGATGCTGCCACATGCTTGTTCCCATTCACTGCTTCTATTTTTTCATGATGCTTAGTCACAGTCTCTTGCCTTGCCCCTCTGCCAGGCTTACACAGACATCACAGCCTCAAGGCACCATCATTCTCAAACACCGTCTCATGTTCCTGGCCAGTCTACAGCATCCTGCCCTTTCCTGGCAGCAGCTCCAACTGGGAAATCCTCTTCCAGCTTCACACTCATCTTTAGGGCATCATAAGCAGAGTCCTTTCCCTGAGACAGCCTCCTTCTGATCCTGCCCACAGCTGGGTCTCTGAAATGGCTAACACGGCCATTTGGAGACAGAGCAGCACACCTCCTCCAAACATGTTTGTCCTGACGCTCTCCATCATCTAAATACAAACACCCCCATACACACACATGCTCCACCCAGGCTGCAAACGGCATTAGTTGTTCATAATTATTCCACGTTTGGCTGCTACTACAGACATCTAAGTCTGACCTGAAAGCAAGCAACTCCAAACCACCCAGAAGAAGCATCCTGACTTCAGGCTGGCCACCATATTTCCAAGCCATCGCAGCACATGTGTTTACTTGATTTTCATTCATGCAGGTGCCCAGAAGACCCTGAGCAGCAAAGAACAGCAGGACAGACAGGGGAAGAGTTTTATTTACAAATCAGTGCCAAGTTTCCTAACTGATCATGCAATTTTTCATGTACTTTGGCAAAAAAAAGAAATAGTGATTCAAGTCAAAGCAAGGGATGAATTACACATTGAAAACCAGAAAGAGAGAGAAGTCAGTTAACACAATCTTGTACTCTTTTGTACAGGCCAGCGATATGACCCGTCTCTGGGATTCTGCTGTTGGCCACCCAGAAGGTGTTACCCAGAAACTAAGATTAGTCAAGTAAAAATTCCTTTACGGCTCTGTGAAGATGACGCGTTCTTCACTCCAACTAAATTCAAAACAAAATTATTCTGTACAGTGGTGAGATTCTCTGAAAATGCCCCCAGAGAAACAGCAGTTTCCTCCAGCACTAGTGAGCAATGCATGAGTGGGTTCTCCCAGCTGCCGCTTCCTCTGTCCCAAATTCCAGGGCTTTGCAGACTTGACAGTTCCATGCAAGTGAAGCCAGCAGCAAATGTAATCAACACATCCAAACTCTGCCAGTTTGGATGTTGAAAGTTGTCACATACACAGGTTCAGCATGTAGCCAAAGTTTAGTTATTTCCCCAGATTTTTAACAGCCCTCTGATAACATTGCAGAAAAGAAGCTGAAGTAAGAAAAAAAGAGAGGAATTTGGACATGTAACCTGTTTCAGGAACTAAATTTCTGAAAACCCCTGTAACAAGTTCTCTGTCTAGTTCTCTAACCTGGCACAAAATATTGTTAAACTCCCTCTTTCTGAGTCTGCCAGTGGCCTCAACTGCTGGGCTGTGACTGGCATGCATTTGCCATGTGCAGTTTCTTCTTAGTGGGCATGAAGGAAGACAAGAAAAAAAGTTGATTTCTAGCAAAGAAGAGTTTTGATATTTAGTTTATCCCATGATAAACTGACTACAAGTTTTTCCAAATATCATATATTAATATAAGTACTGCACAGTAAAACATTGCCCTTCTCAATCTACTATATAAGACTGCAGGAGAGCATGTTTAGAAAGCTCAGACAGCATGGAAAGAGTCTTACCTGTATAGTCCTGCTTCTGCTCTCATGAAGAAGCAGCTCCTCTGACAGAAGCAGAGTCCGGGCTGGGTTGCAAAGATCTAGGGGCTACATTTGAAGGGGGGGGGGGGGGGGGGGGA